CGCGGGGTGATACGCCGGCTCGCGGGTGAAGGCCGGGTGTTTGGGCTGCGGGTAACGTGGGTTCTGGGCTGACTGAAGGGACGGGGTTCGGTTCGGGTTTCCAGATCTAGATCTTGGGTCGGACTTCGTCCTCTTCGCCCGACTGCCTGCGCGATTTTCCGTCGATCTCTCTCTCTCCTCGACAACGTCGTCTCGACGTCCTTTTCCCCCTTTTTTCCCCCGTTCCCGAGCTTATCCTTCACCCTAACCCCGTTTTTGGTACAGATTTCGTTGGTAAGGGCCTCGCACTCCCGGATCTGGAGAAGCTCAGAAATTCGCCGTTCCATCTTCCTTGTCGACGGTGTTCAGCGTACGGGATTCATCTAAAACCTACTCCTGATGTGTGTAAAGGGTTCTGGGATTACTATTGTGGTGTGAAATGGGGGTTTTCGACGTCGATTCGTACGGTTCGGCTTCGCCAGAGTTTCGTCGATTTTTGGTTCTCTCTCCTTTTTCCTCACTGTTTTCGTTTCTTTGTAGGTTCTTTCAGGGTGGCTGAAGGTCGGGGACGCGATTTGTGGCATCCCAGCCCTCGGCCGCCCTTTGTGGGTTGTGTGCGAGTGAAAACTCTGGCGTTCGCCGGAGTTTTCGGCTCTACCGACGACCATCATTTTATTTCTTTTTTTTTTTTTCAGTTTCGTTACATTACCTACTCCTAAAAGGGACTTTTGTCCTCGAAAGTCTTGAACTCGTGGATCAACTTGGGATATTTTCCTTTATTTTCTCCTCTCATTCCCATGTAGCTTCCTCGACTTGGTGGTTACGCCACAATACCTTAACGAAACCTATACTCCTATTACGTAAGGCTTTCACCTCTCGGGCTAGAATTTTAATAAGTTTTTCCTGGTAACTTAATTTTTCCTCAATTTCGAGAGGTTTGTAGTCTATTACGTGCGTCGGGTCTGGAATGTATTTCCTTAACATGGACACATGAAATACATCGTGTACGCTTGAAAGTGAAGGTGGTAAAGCTAGTTTGTAAGCTACCGGACCTACTCTTTCTAAAATTTCGAACGGTCCAATGAATCGGGGGCTGAGCTTCCCCTTGTGTCCGAATCTTAGAATACCTTTCATGGGGGCTACTTTTAGGAACACTGGGTCCCCCTCTTCGAACTCTAAATTCCTACGCCTAACGTCGGCGTAGCTCTTTTGCCTACTTTGCGCGGTACGCATTCTTACTCGAATTTTCTGGATTGCCTCGTTGGTGACCCGGACCAACTCGGGTCCTACCAGTTCTCGTTCTCCTACTTCGTCCCAACACAATGGGGATGATATGAACCAAGAGACATCAATCATACAATATGCTTCAATGAAGATGTGAAGAAAAGGTTGTCAAAATTATCAAAAGATGTTTCAATTCATGCTACATTGAAGAAGAATAAAGTTTGATTGTTGTAAATTTTGGGTGGGTTATAATTTAGAGTTATTGTGTTTTAAGACTTTTTATTTAATTTCGGTTACATTTACATAATGGCTAATTATGGCCATAAAGTGTGAATGTTACAACTTTTGGAATGCCTTTAATAGTTTCATTTTGAGGCTATATAAAGCCATCTATGTTGTATTTGTAATCAGACTTTGAAAATATAGTAAAGAAGCATTTGTGCTTTTCTTTAGCCAATGGCTAAGTTTCTTTGCAACTCTATGTAGTTTAGGTTGCATGTAGAATCATTCAAGCTCGATATGATCAGTCTTGCTTGTGGAGTGATTCGAATCTCAAACAAGTGTTTGAGATATTTGATCAACAAGAATCATTGAAGCTAGACATGATCGATCTTGCTTCTGGAGTGATTCGAATCTCAAACAAAGTGTTCTTGACTTGAGATATTCGATCGACAAGGTAATCCGAATCTTATTCCCCTTGTATTGATTCCTTATCTTATCAGGGGATCTACATCGTTTTCCATACAATGCTTCAAAGGGTGCCATCCCGATGGTTGCTTGGAAGCTGTTATTGTAAGAGAATTCCATTAAGTGCAGTTTGGTGTCCCAACTCCCTGTGAAATCCATAACGCATGCCCGAAGCATGTCTTCTAGAATTTGGTTTAATCGTTCTGTTTGGCCATCCGTTGGTGGGTGGAAGGCGGTGCTAAAGTCGAGGCAGGTACCCATCGCTTTTTGGAGTCCGCGCCAAACGGTCGACGTAAAACGCGGGTCCCGATCTGACACAATTGACACCAGTACTCCATGCAACCTCACAATTTCTTTAACAGACAGTTGTGCCCAATTGTCTACTGTATATGTTGCCTTACCCGGTAGGGAGTGAGCCGACTTTGTCAGGCGGTCCACGACCACCCAGATTACCGTATAGCCCTTTAATGTTTTGGGTAGGCCTACTATGAAATCCATGGCAATGTTTTCCCATTTCCATTCCAGTATACTTAGAGGTTGTAGTAGCCCAGCGATTTTCTGCCTAGGGGCTTTTACTTGTTGGCACACTAGACACTTACTCACGTACTCCACGATATCCTTCCTCATACTTTGCCATCAGAAATGTTGTTTCAAGTCTTGATACATCTTTGTTCCACCTGAATGTATCGAGAAGGTTGAGTTGTGTGCCTCTGTTAGGATTTCATTTTTTATTACACTCATGGGTGGGACACATAAACACCCTTGGCATAATAATCCGTCATCCGTTGATTTAGTGAATCCGTCCACTGGGCCAACTTCCAATTGGTTTAGGATTTTACTTAGGCCTGGATCCCCACGTTGTGAGTCTATGATCCTTTGTCTGAGCGTGGGGCGCACTGTCAGTCGGGCTATTTGGGCGACAACTTCTTTGGTTACTACCGCGATATCAGCCTGTTCGAAATCAGTTCGCACTCATGGCTCCCTGGTGATGAGGGCTGACGAGTGTACTGCTTTTTGACTCAGTGCATCAGCGACTACATTTGCTTTTCTAGGATGGTATTGGATGTCTATGTCGTAATCTTTTACCAGCTCTAACCATCTACGTTGCCTCATGTTCAATTCTTTTTGGGTGAACAAATATTTTAGGCTTTTGTGGTCCGTGTAGATTTGGGTCTTTTCACCATACAGGTAGTGTCGCAAAATTTTTAACGCGAACACCACTGCTGCGAGCTCCAAATCTTGTGTGGGATAGTTTTTCTCGTAATCTTTTAGTTGGCGTGACGCATACGCAACCACCTTGCCATGTTGCATCAGTACACAACCTAATCCCTTTTTGGATGCGTCACTGTAAATCACATATCCCACAGAACTTTCTGGAACTAATCCCTTTTTGGATACTAGTCTTTGTTTTAGTTCTTGAAAGTTGGCCTCACAAGTATCGTCCCAAACAAAAGGTACACCTTTTTTTTGTCAATTGGGTGAGAGGCGTGGTTATTCTAGCGAAGTCCTGGACAAACCTTCGATAGTAACTCGCCAATCCCAAGAAACTTCGTATCTTAGTGACCGTTGTTGGGCATTTCCATTTCGTGACCGCTTTTATCTTATTGGGATCTACGAAGATTCCGTCTTTAGACACTACGTGCCCCAAAAACGAAACCTGTCGTAGCCAAAATTCACACTTGGTGAATTTGGCATACAGCTTGTTCTCTCTTAGGATAGTTAAGGCTTGGCGAAGGTGCTCTTGGTGTTCTAGGTCCGTTTTCGAGTATATTAGGATATCGTCTATGAACACGATCACAAACGAGTCTAGGCACTCCTTAAATACTCGGTTCATTAGTTCCATAAATACCGCTGGGGCATTGGTGAGACCAAAAGACATCACCACAAACTCATAGTGGCCATATCTGGTTCAAAAGGTTGTTTTCGGTATGTCTTCATTTTTAATCTTAATTTGATGGTATCCTGATCGAAGATCTATTTTAGAAAACATTGTCGCCCCACGTAGTTGATCAAATAGGTCCTCAATATAGGGTAACGGGTATTTGTTCTTTACCGTCCTCTTGTTTAATTCCCTATAATCAATGCATAAACGCATTGAACCGTCTTTCTTTTTAACAAACAACACTGGCGCACCCCAAAGGGACACGCTAGGTCGAATGAAGCCCTTATCTAGCAGGTCTTACAGTTGTGTTTTAAGCTCTTTTAGTTCTGCTGGTGCCATGCAGTATGGGGCCTTAGAGATGGGTCTCGTTCCTGGTTCCAGATCTATTCCAAAGTCTACCTCTCGCGATGGAGGAATTCCCGGGAGGTCCTCTGGGAAGACATCCATAAATTCGTTTACTACGGGTACTGTATCTATGGGTTTTCCTTTCCTTTTGTATTTACTACACAGGCTAGAAACGCCCACCCCCCTTGTTGTATCAAGCATCTCGCTTTCATCAACGATATTATTTTTGGGGTGGTACCTGTGGAGGTTCCTTTAAACTTAAAGGTAAGTCCGTTGGGAGGTGTGAATATCACCTCCTTCTTATGGTAGTCTATGGTAGCAAAGTTTTCTGCTAATCAGTCCAATCAAAATCCGTCATATCCACTACCTTTAAGTCTACGTGGATGGTTTCTCCAGCTATTACCACTTGTCCGTCCTTTACTCTATTTTTCGTAACTAGGTCTACCCCTACTGGGGTACCGACCGACAATGCATGCATTAAGGGTTCTACTACGAACCCTGCTTGTTTAACAAATGGTAAAGCAACAAAGGAATGGGTAGAACCAGAATCAAACAATGTCAACGCAAAGTGTCCTTGTATAGAAAGCGTACCTGTCACCACGGTGCCAGATGTTCCCGCCTCTTTACTGGTCGTTACATATGCCTTGGTCTATGGACGGGTTTATAAGGTGGGCTCTCGGATGACCGGTCCTCTAAGGGGTTCCCTTGGAATTCCCGGGCTCTTTGTAGGGCAAGTTCTGGCCACATGACCTGCATGACCACAGATATAACACATACCTGAGCCTGCCAAACATCTCCCAACATGTTGCTTTCCACAGTTACAGCACAGGGGCTTCTCCATTGCTAGGTGTCGACCTATTGGAGGTGGAGCAGGTGGCATTCTCTAATATCGAGGTCTCTGGAACGGTGGTTGGAACTCTGTGGTATCGACCTCGACAGGGCGTTTCCTCCCCGTGGTGACTGTTGGCTCTGTTTTCTTTTCCTCTGGGGGTTCCTCTAGGGCCTTGGCCGTCCTTAGGGCTTCTTCATTGGTTTTTGGGTTAAAGGCCTCTAACATGCGGCGGGTTTTCGGATTCAATCCTAACACAAATTTTTCTGTCTGTTTCTCTTCAGTGTCGGCTAAAGACGGTGTAAACCTTCTCAATCTCATGAAGTCCTGATCGTACTGATCCACCGTGCGATCACCTTGGGTTAAGTGGTTAAACTCTTGCTGTTTCTTTATACGGGTTTTCTTTGGATAATAGTATTTTAGAAAGGCTTCCTTGAAGGTCTCCCATGTTGTAATTCCCCCGCTCGGGTTGATGCTCTGTTTGTTATCCGACCACCACACTTCTGCATCTTTTTGTAACACGTATGTCGCACATGCCACCTTATGTTCATCAGGGCATCTCATTGATTCAAAGGTTGTTTCCATGTTTGCGATCCACATCTGAGCCGCTGTGGGATCTTCCTTTGAACCGACAAAAGGACGGGGGTTGTACCGCCTGAAATCCTTTAACCAACTCGCGCCTCTATTCGGGTGTGGGTTGTTTACCAATTGGATAGCTACCGCATCCACCGATTGTGGGGCCGTCGCATTGGCTTGTTGCGTGGCCATCGCGTTGGCTGGTTGCGTGGCCATCGCGTTAGCTGGTTGCGTGGCTATTGCCGCGACTTGTTGCGTAGCCAACAATGTGGCCTGTTGTGTGTCTAGCATGGTTTGCATATTTTTTTGAAGAGATTCCAACAGTAACTTTATGGCGGGGTCTAACCTGGTCTGTGGTGCAGCTTGAGGGGGCGGTGTATATTCCGGAGGGGGTACAGCTTGTGGGGGAGGTGCATATTCAGGAGGGGTACAGCTTGTGGAGGAGGTGCATATTCAGGAGGGGGTACAAACGCATATGGGCCGGTAGTCGACCCCTCTTGGTAAGAACTTCTATCGGCGTCTCCTCTTCCTCCTCTTCTAATGGGAGGTCGTCCCCTCCCTCTCCTACCTCTTCTACGTCCTCTGTGTGGCATGGTTCTAGAAACCAAGAAAGAATTCTAGCTAAGTTTATGATTTATAACATTCCCTACATCCTACCATATAATTCATATGTATACATACATATAAAAGAAAAACATAAATATCGTAACATAAAGATATGCATTACATCAAATCACATCGACATTAGATAACATCAACCTTTTTTCATACAGTAACATGTCATGCATGATTTAAAGCCAACCACATTAAATACATCACGCATGTCATACATTCCTCATTCTATATAAGGTGTACCTGGCAACGACGGGGCATCGGTAATTGGACCGTGGAACATGCCAAGCCTACTCTGTAGGCTAGTCTACAAGATCTATAACTTGGCTCTGATACCAACTGTAACGACCATAATATTTTACCTATTTAATCTAAGGTCATTACCATACTTTGAAATGCGGAATATACATTTAATGGACCCTATTCATAAATGCTTTTCGCACTCGCCTTTTTATTACCTCAAAAAAAAAAAAAAAGATTACAAGAATGAATAGTTTATTCTACCCTAAGGTTTATTATGCAAATACATTTTATCCTATTCTAACCTATACTAGAAATGGAAAAAAAACAACCAACTACCCTATGCATGTGCCACGATCCTGAGGTGTCCGATGCCGTCGTCGTTGTCACATGGGTGCCTTGCCCTTATCTGCAAAAGTAAAGTAGCACGAGGCTTGAGTATTTCTAGAGTACTCAGTAAGTGACCCCCTATCGGGGTTATGCGACAAATACATGCAATGAAATGATGGGACCTATCGTTCCATTTCGTTTCGTTTCGTTTCATTTCGTTTTCCCAACGGTGTAATCCTAACAGGTAATCGTGGACGTGTACCATATACTCTACACGCAGCCCATACGTGCGAGTATGGGCTCACCAGCTAGTTCGCACATCGCTGGGCCACTGTCCCTAGCTGGTGGGCATGCTCTAGGGGCCCATCGGGACCCGTTAAAACTAAAACCGTCACAGCAGCGCTATGCAGGGCATAACGATCGTTGTCCTACCATTTGGATGTACGCGTCCATACCCTCGTGATGGGATAGGGGTATCCCCCCAAATGCATGAACACAAAATATGTATGAGGTCCCACTAGTTCTACAGTCATCATTCAATGAGCATAATCCCGTGTCACGTTTTCATGCTTACATGTCATTCTCATTCTCATTTCCTTACATATCATACATATTTCTAGCGGGGTTATGTATCATGCAATTTACCATATTTCATGTCATGCAATTCATTCAATCACATTCCCATACTCATACAACAAGCCATAATCGTACACGGGTCACACATCGTCACATGCATTCATATCACATCCACTAAGCAGAATAAATAATCTACATTCACGTTCACATGATTTCGTACTTAAGCACATTAAGCTAGCATACAATTTAATGGCACGTGAATAACCACGGGCACATGCCAACATACAGCAATTAATGCGTAACCTACAACGGATGAGGCACTTACTTGGTAGGCCTTAGCCGAAGTACTCCCTAGAATATAATGTAAGCTCCTAGCTCCTCGTGGACGTTCTACGCTTCCGTTGGTGGTTGGTTCCTATTGGTTCATGAGTCACTTCCGTTAGTATTCCACAAATAATAATAAATTCCCATCTGGAATTTGTGAAATACGACCTTAAAATGTTCCCTTTTTCCTTTAAACAAGGCCAAAACTAGGTCTTGGAGGGTCGAAACGGTGTCAAACGGGCAGGAAACAAGTTTCCTGAGCCGAATAAGCTGAATAAGCCGCCAGAGCCGAGGAGCCGCCGCCGAGCCGATGAAGCCGCCTGAGCCGAGAGGAGCTGCGCGGCAGACGTGATACGTGGCACAATCAGAGAGCGACGCGTGTGCAGGCGTCTCGGGTCGAGGCGCAGGTTAACGGGTCGCTCGCGGGTCTCGGGCCGAACGCGGGTGACTGGCCGCGCAGTGATGGGCCGGCTCGCGGGTGACGGGCCGCGGGGTGATGGGTCGGCTCGCGGGTGAAGGTCGGGTGTTTGGGCTGCGGGTAACGTGGGTTCTGGGCTGACCGAAGGGACGGGGTTCGGTTTGGGTTTCCAGATCCAGATCTCGGGTCGGACTTCGTCCTCTTCGCCCGACTGCCTGCGCGATTTTCTAGAGATCTCTCTCTCCTCAACAACGTCGTCTCGACGTCCTTTTTCCCCTTTTTTTGCCCCCATTCCCGAGCTTATCCTTCATCCTAACCTCGTTTTTGGTACATATTTCGTGGGTAAGGGCCTCACACTCCCGGATCTGGAGAAGCTCGAAAGTCCGCCGTTCCGTCTTCCTTGCCGACGGTGTTCAGCGTACGGGATTCGTCTAAAACCTACTCCTGATGTGTGTAAAGGGTTCTAGTATTACTTTTGTGGTGTGAAATGGGGATTTTCGACGTCGAAACTGTTGGTTATAAACTTGTTTTTATTATTTGTTTTTTATTATTATTATTATTTTATTTCTGTTGTTTATTTCTCCATGAAGAAAGGTCGGAAATATTGTAAGTAGGGGAAGGAACTAATTTTTAGGGAGTGGAGTAGTAGGAGTGGAAGGAGTGGTGAAGTGCTTGCTGATTTGTAGCAGAAATAGGTAAATTTTTTAGTATATAAAGAAAATGGTGCCAAGTTCTAAAGACACCACAAAAACAAGAAATAATTTGTGTGTCTTCGTTTATTCTCCCCTTCTATTGCGTTTTTTTTCTTACAATTGGTATCAGAGCGTTAAGATCAAGGCCAGTTTTCAATCATGTCTCACTTAGAGATTGAGTGGTCAAGAAGGGAGAGAGATAAAAAATGAGACAGGAATCGAGTGACAGGAGCCAAAACACCGATGCGATAGAAGGTGATGCCTCACATGAGGTGAGTGTACGGATTCAAGAAAAGGAGGGATCTGTCACACTCAAATACCCGATGCTGCAACTATGCAGCTTGGGCGATTAAGATGGAGGTATTTATGACGGCACAAGGTGTTTGGGAGGCAATTGAGTCACCCGAAACAGTAGATAACCGTAAAGATATGATGGCTTTAGCAGCTATTTATCAAAGTATTGGAGAAGATACGTTGCTACAGTTGGGTGCCAAGAAAACGGCCAAGGAAGCCTAGATCATGCTGAAAAATATGAATCTAGGTGCGGAAAGAGTGAAAGAAGTTAGAACGCAGACTCTCTGGCGGGAGTTTGAAGCGTTGAGGATGGGTGATTCAGAAAGTATTGATGAGTATTCTAGAAAACTCACCATTATTGTCAACAAATTGAGAGGCCTCGACAATACTGTGGATGATATCCAAGTAGCTAAGAAACTTCTACGATCCACCTCTGCAAAGTTTCTTCAAATTACCTCAACGATTGAGGAGTTCAGTGATCTCAAAACGAAATTCGTTGACGAGATTATTGGATTACTCAAGGCACATGAAGAAAGGTTGCAAGGGTTTGGAGAAAAAGATGAAACCGTTCTCCTCACTCATGCAGAATGAAAGGAACGAGAGACTGCAAAATCCTCAAAGAAAGAATGGAAGGATCAAGGCAGTTCCAGAGGAGGCAGGGGACATGGTCGCGGAAGATGGAGAGGCCGTGGGAGAAGTGACTGGCATCGAGGAGATGAAGGAGAGTCGCAAACTCAAAAGAAGAGATTTGACAAAAGTAAAATTAAATGTTTCAGGTGTCAGAAAATGGGACACTTCGCATCAAAGTGTTCCACAAAAGACGAACAACTCAACCTGATAGAGATGCAAAAGGATGAGGAGTCTTCACTGCTGATGATAGAGGCGCGTGAAATTAAAACCACACATGACAAAGAGCCTAATTTTGTGATGTTGAATGAAACTATAGTGCCGCCACTAGACAATATTGAACCTGAAAATTCCTGGTTCCTAGATACTGGAGCAAGCAACCACATGTCAGGAGAAAGGAGGGTCTTTCGTGAGCTCGACACATCTATTGTTGGAAAGGTACGCTTCATTGATAACTCTGTAATAGACATTTGTGGTCGAGGAATAGTGCTCTTCAAATACAAAACGGATGAGCACTTGATCTTATCGCAAGTCTATTACATACCTAAACTCAAGAGCAATATTATAAGTTTGGGACAACTGGATGAGAGTGAAAATAAAATTGTCATAGAGAACAGTGTGATGAAGATATATGACAGAGCTAGGAGCCTGATTATTATGGTGACCAGACAATCCAACAGATTGTATGTAGTAAAGCTGAAGCTTGCCGATCAGGTGTGTTTAATGACAAATATCAGTAACAGAGGTTGGCTCTGGCACGCGAGGTATGGACACCTAAATTTTCACTCTTTAAAGCAATTAAATGACAAGAGAATGGTTGAAGGGTTGCCGAGAATCACCCAGGTCAATCAATTATGCGATGGGTGTTTAATTGGAAAGCAGCATAGGACTCCTTTTCCCCGAACAACAACATATCGTGCGAAGGAGTCATTGGATCTTGTCCATGGAGATCTATGTGGACCTATTTCGCCAATGACGTATGGAGGTAACAAATATTTTATGTTACTAGTGGATGATTGTTCACGATTTATGTGGGTGTTTATGTTGAAAAACAAGAATGAAACACTGCTGGTGTTTAAAAAATTCAAGATCAGTGTGGAGGT